TTATCCTTGGACACGGGATGATTTCTGTGTCTTCAGTTGGTGTGTGCTGCCGAGCAATCAGCCAGGTTCAAGTGCTCACCCCCATCTCCTTGCCCTCTGCTCACACTCTCAACCACCTACTGGGAGTTTCCATGTCCCAGCAGCATGTCAATTCCAACTTAACCTTGAACCTTCATTGTGCCATTCTGAGTTATATTACCCTACTTTCCAAAAAGAATAAAAACAAAAACAAACAACTTATGCTTCTATAGTATGCAAGAGCACAATAAAATTTTTGCAGATGGAAGGAGGGAGTGTGAGGATAGTTTTACACATATCCCACACACATTCACACACTTAGAAGCAGGTATGAAAAAACACAACTAAAGGCAGTCTTGTACCATTATCCAGCAATGCACTGGTAAACTCAAATAGCTCAATTTTCTGTCTTCCTTTCTCTTATTTTTCCCCATCAAAGTTAAATTATTTTAAACTAATTCAGACTTCTGTATCTCAATGTCCTTCTTGACCACAACACCCAAACAGCATTCCTGCTTCCTCTTGCTAATGTGAATGTAGAACTTATCACATTATCCTGTGTCATCTTTCCAGGTAAGTGAGCAGCTGTGGCAGACTGAATCCTGTTTACTCTCCCAAGTGTGACTACACCTGGAGACAGTGCTTTTAGACAGTGACTAAGGTTAAATGTGACCATCGGGTAGGATTGGCCTGGTAAGAGATACAGAGCCCTTCCTTCCACCATCTAAAGATCTATAAAGCAACTATCAGCAAGGCAGAAGATCCTTACCATTACAAGATCAAATGGCACCCTGGATCCCCAGCCTCCAGAAAGATAAGCTCTATCGTGCCTCTTGTTCGAGCTACTACCTACAGTGTCAGTCAGCCAGGCCATGGTACTTTGCTACTGTAGGCTGAGACAACTCAGGAAGACTGTGGTACTCAAAGTTCTTATCCTGGCTGTACCTAAAAACCACCACAGAAGACAGTTTTCTTCTGATCCTTGGGTTACATCCAGACAGTGTTTCAGAAGTGGACAAGTATTATCCTAATGAACAGCTGATCACGAATGATGGTGCGATTGTTTGTTGAGGCTGGAGATTCTGTAGTTCTTTCTTAACCACTCTCTAACTCACAGCATAGCATACTCCAAGAGGAAACATTTAAAAAAGGAACTGAACATTTTAAAAAACATTTAAATGAAACATTTAAAAAAAGGAAAAGAACTGGAGTAGGCCGAGCACTTCAGGAGCTGTTGTTGCAACCTTCTTCAGAGATACACTTTATATACCCACCCCTAGAATGTCCTTAACTTCCTCACCTCACTTTCCACCCCAAGCCTTTGCACTGACCCACTTTGTCCACTTACCCGATTCCTGGAAGAAAACAGCTGTAGAAGAACATGAACGGACACAGACACACACATATAGCCACTTCCCATCTTGCAAATGTAAAAGTGAAGGAGGAACCTGCAGTGACTGACTGAGGAAAGGAAATATGTGGTCTTGCTAAATGGGAGGCAAGAGAAAAGGAGGACAGGATCACTCCTGGGTAACACAGAAAGCAAAAGAACCCAAACTTACAAGGGAGCCCCAAATACCTGTGTCTGGGAACATAATAGTAACAGAATATTTTCCTGAAATACCAGAAAAGACAAAGTTGTAAGTTGGTGGTTTATTGACATTTTCAATTATTGGGTATTTTATACCATGTTAGGGGCGAGGGCTAACTTCTACAACTCTTATCACGTAGAAATCAAAATAAAAATTTGAAAGGATAGCCCTAAACAGAACCTGATGTAAATTAAAGTTCTTATCCATGGCCATAACCTATAAAATGTCTTTGTAGATAGTTTCTCAAATATTTTTGGATGAATTTTTATATGTTACTGATTCTTTCACTAATTAATGAGCTGAAGAAAATCTTCAACACATGAACCATAATTTTACCTTTTTGAAAGTTATATTTAACAAGCATGAATTTTAACATGTTTCTATAGGTGATCATGGGTTATATTTTTAAAACAAAAATCTCTTAAGGTTTTAAAAATCTTTTAAGATTTTAATCACTAAATTTGACTAGATTTTCTAAACTTTACAATGTTTATAGAAAGTATGAGTCTGCAAAGAACTGTAACTTGAAATATAAGATATGCTTAAATCCTAGTATAGGACAATGAGCTGTGCTACAAACTCTTGCAGGATTATGGAGCTCAAAGGTCCCATTTATGACTGGAGGGTGTAAGAACTTCCTATAAGAATAGGGACTCGAAAGGGGGGAAAAAAAGCTGAGTGAAAAGTTAGTAAAACTGGGAGCATGCAAGACAACTGTTTTCCTCCACTTTGTTTAGATGTCAGGGAACTGCCTAACAAATATCTAAATGTCAGAGGTTCTAGGAGAACAAATCAAGCAGGCATCATATGTTTTAAAAGTTCAGTTTCCCTCACAACCACTTTACTTGGCATTTTGTCCTTTCTCTGTTTTTTTTCCACAAACTGCAGTAGAAAATAATGGATATAACCGTGGCTGATAAACCTTCAGGAAGTGTATTATCAACTCTACGAAATGGAAAAGTTAGAATGAAAAGATACATGAGGATAAGGTTGCCATCTGCATTTCACTGGATTCAGAATTTGAGAAAAACCAAAAGAAAAAAAAAAAAAACTAGACTGTTTTATCAGAGAATTCAAGGCCCTAAACTGCTAGGTGCCACCAGAAGCCTACTTTCCCACCCTTTTCCTCTGTACTCTGCCCCTACCAGTTAAATGTTTTTTGAGCCTCTGCCACTTTGAATGTCCACTAGAGTCCCTCCCAGCTCTTTTCATGGTGGCTTATTCTCATCCTTGACATTTAAAGTGAACGGTACTTCTCCATGAAAGCTCTTTGCAAAAATACCTCTCCCCCACAATCTGCTGTCTTCATAATGTTTACCAGCCTTTAAGTGTATGTGTTCAGTCAGGGAGAAGACAGACTGGCTGGGCTCCTTGTTTGTAAAAGGAGGGTTTTTTTTTGTTTTGTTTTGTTTTTTGTTGTTGTTTTTTTTTTTTTTTTTTTTTTTTGGGGGGGGGGAGTTCAAGACAGGTTTTCTCAGTGTAGCCTTGGCTGTCCTGGACTCCATTTGTAGACCAGCTGGCCCGGAACTCAGAGATCTGCCTACGTCTGCCTCCCTGAGTGCTGGGATTTCAGGCATGTGGCACTGCACCCAGCAGTAAAAGAAACTTTTATTTGACTGGTTCAACTGTTGTCTTGAGGCTTACTACCTCCTTCTGCTAACCTAGGCCTAGTCCTGGAAGCTTCTGACCTCCATACAATCTAACATAAGCCTAGAATGTTTTCAGCCTCTGAGACTTACTGCTGAATACGCTCACCCTTTCTCGTTCTTTCTGAGCTCTGGGCTGGCTGGTTCAACTCAGCTGTTCTGGCTCCAAACTCCCCTCAAAGCTGACTGATTCTGTCTGACTTCTCTCTCAGTCTCTGAATTGTTCTGCTTGGCTCCAACTAACTCCAGCAATCTGCTCTAATCTCCCAGCTCATTCTCATTCTCTGGCTTGTTTCATCTTCACCTAAATTCTCTCTCTCTGCAACCTGTCTCCCTATTACTGTCCTGGTAAAACTGCCTCTTCTCCGTCATTGCCCCTTAAGTAGCTTCCCTTTCCTCTTCCTCTCTCTTCTGAGAGTTGAGTGTACCTTATTCTTATCAAGTCTTTCTCTGATTCATCACTGTTTCTGCCACTCAATTAGACATCACTTTCAAACATGGGTGCTTCCTTCTACAAACTAACTTTACCTTCACTGTTTGGGATTAAAGACATATACCACCATGCCTGGACCAAAGCTTTTCTTTACCTGAAACTTGCTCTACATCAGGCTGCCCTTAAACTCAGATCTGCTTGCCTCTGTCTCCTGGATTAAAGGTGTGTTTGTGTTCCAGCTGGACCACACAGACCTAGAAGATCTCTGTATGTGATCTCTTGCCAGCTGGGTCACACAAACCTTGAAGGTCTTTAGATATAATCTCTTTGGAAGCAGCCATGTTCTGAATTAAAATTTCTCTACACTTGTTTGTCCTGTATGTTACCGTTTCCTAGTTTAGAACAATACATCATGAATACTGAGACCCCAACAAATTTATTTAACCAAAAAGTACTAAAATAAAGGCATGGTCAATAGCAGTAACCTCTCTGAACATGTTTCTTACTCTGTGAAAATGGAAGTAAACGAATCAACCATGCAAATACTATTTTGTGACAACTGGATACACTTATCTTGATAAAAACGTGTCAAGTTATTTGTCTGCTACATCTCGTTTCCATCCTATTCCAGGGCCACACGTTACCTTTCAGTTCCGAACCTCTCAGGTTTGTAAATTTCTTACCTACCAATGCCTTGAGTTTTTTTCTATCCATCACTTAAACAGACTAGACTCATATACCTTTCACCGTTTCTTAAATCAACTAAAGTACTAAGCGCGTTTTTGTAAAACTTTCTGAGGAACTGAACTCTCCTGCAAACCTAAGTGGAGCCACTAAAGTTAAAAGGACGCGGAAGATGTTTGGAGAGCCTTTCCAAGAAAATGACTCTAGCGAGTCGGTCATGGAACCTGTTACACTGGGCCACAAGGTTGAACTTGGGAGTAGGAAGTATAAAAATGTCAAACTGCACCAGCATGAAACTTTTTTTTACGTTTTTCTTAAACAGTATCTACACCCGATGCTGTTTTAAAGAACCCCGTACCCTCACGGGGGTAGGTGGGGAAGAAAAAACAGACGGTGATGAGATTGAAGAGATAATGGAAGTTGACACCACGAACCCGACGCCCCTCACTGAGCAACCAGAGCCCCAGCCAGCGGCAGACGGATGGCCTGTCACGGAGGGAGGAAACCCAGCCGCCGGGCTGAGTGAGGCGCTAACCGCGGAAGCCGCGCATCCCCGGAGCACCTGACCCCGGCGGCGACGGCCCGAGACCCGCGCCCAGGCCCTCACAACCACGCCGACCCCAGTACCTGCGGGGTCCAGCGCCATATCGGAGGGCAGAGAGGAAGCAAGCCACTAGCGGGCACAGCGGGCCGAGAGGGGCGGAGCCTGAGCTGAGCTGCGCGCGCAGCCGCCCGCCGCGGGGCCGCAGGAGGTGAGGGCGGTGCCACCTCCCCAGCGAGGGCGGGCCACGCCCCCTTTTCCCACGATCCTCCTTCCGTTGAGCTCTACGCCTGCGCCCGACTGCGCTCTCCCGGAAGCCTGCTCTAGAGTGGGCGGGTTTCCCAGGGAAAGGCGACCGGGAGGGGCGGGGTTGTGCACGCGCCTGCCTTTTCGAAGTAACCCGTAGCATGCGGGTCTTGGGCCTCTTCCCTCATTGGTGCTTAATGTCCCGGTCATTTAGTCATTAGTCCCTCTGTCCGAGTCAGATTTCAGCCTCAGTGTTGAGTGCTAGAGAAAAAGTAATAAAAATAAAGCCCTTATTCTCTCCCCACTGTTACTGGGAGAACAGCCCTGCAGGCGTCCTCGGTTTTCTGAACGTCCCCTGGGCGTACAGCCCAGTCTGGTCGTGTTATGGATCTTGACTCTCCTTCAAAGCTCTAATTTGTTGCTGATGTAAGAGAAAGGAACAGTTACCCGAAGGCTTCCTCGACAGAAGTAACTTTCTGATTGGCGCTTAGGACTGTTTCCGCTCACTGACCGACCTGGAGCTCTTCAGTCTTTATCAGATCAACATTTAATAAGTTTAAGTCTCCTCCAAAGGGTGAGTAAGGCCAGGGACAGATGTTTGGAAAAGCATGGAGCAGCTGCCTCTTCCCTGCAAGGGGATTTAAGGCTTTCAAAATGATTGCCTCCCCACCTACCTGCAGTCTCTCCTCCCCTGCTGCTGCATGCGCCTGGTCAGTTGGCAGAAAAGATACCACAGTTGAACAGGCCCTGGAAAGTGGGTCTCTGCTCGGCAGGGCTCCCATTTAAGGGCCTGTTTGGACATAACGGCGCTCATTACAGCTGTAGGCTGAGGTGCCAACGTGGAGAATTAAACCTTCACTCAACCGGGCAGGAAATCGGTTCTTGTACGTTTTATAAATGTGCTTCGAAAGAGACACTGAGTTTGCCATGGATGCCCTTTTTATTTTGCTAGAAGCAAAGGATTTAGAAAGGCCAAAACAGCGTTGCTGTCGTTGATTTAGGCAGTCCCTCATGTACCCCAAGCTGATCACAGGATGTGTAGCAGAGGTGCTGAAATCTTTTAGAGAAGATGAAATGAGTTATAAAAACACAAGTCATACACCATATTCAAGTAATCAAACCAAATATGGAAAACATAGCTAGCCAAAGGAAGTAAATTTGGTTTGCTTCAGTCAAACAGAACTATACACATACACTTGAATTCTGTAGCCACTGCTATTGGTTTTGTGACATTAAGTTCCAGTAATTTTCTGGACTTCAGTTTCATTTTCAAGGTCACGCTTAGGAGTACATTAGAAACCAAACACATCTCAGAGACTTTGAGGGATCCCTTGTATAGTTTCTGCCATCAGTACCACTTGAAACATTATCATTCAGTATTTTCTACTTAAATCAATTCACCTTTCGAATATCTAAACAATTGCTGTTTGCTTTTGCCTTATCCTTGACAATATTATTTTGGAAAATCTTGATTTTTCTGTTTCCTAAAATTGGCTACTAGACATTTCAACCCAGGGAAAGCATAGCAATAAATACAACTCGATGCCTGGTACTTAAAGGCTTTTCCACTCTCATAGTAAATGGAATGCTTTTGGGGAAACAGTCTTTACAATAGAGATCATTCTTAAGAGTTAAGTCCCAGGAAGTAAGTTGGCAACTCAAAACAAGAAAAATTACAAGTGAACACATTATGACAGATAATATCTTGGAATGTACAATAGAAGTTCAAAGATTAAGGAAAACCCCACCATCCTGGACACTTGAGACTGCATCTTATACAACCATGACCCTTAAGGCTGAAACAATGCCAGCTTAAGGCTGTCACCTAACAGCTCCACCATAGCCTCTCAGAAGAGATGGAGTAGCAGGGTGTTTGGGAAAGCCATGAGATATCAGTCAAAATTTTGCTTGCCTTAAAAGATAGTGGCCTGAATGACAAAGAAGGAGGTAAGTCACTCAGTACAGAAAAAGAAAAAAAAAAAAAAAAAAAAAAGAGGAAAAGCATCAGAGATCTGAGTAGCTCTTAAAGGACATCTAGAACATGGAAGAGGTTGATGCCTGTGCTGGTTGGATTTTGTCAACCTGACACAAACCTGGACATATCTGAGAGGGGAGAATATTAATTGAAGAAATGCTTCTGTAAGATTGCCCTGTAGTCAAGTTTGCAGGACATTTTCTTGTTTGATGACTGATGTGGGTGTGGGAGAGCCCAGCCCCCTGGGGGCAGTGTCCTGGGTGGTACAAGAAAGACTGAGCAAGCCACAGAGAATCAAACCAGGAAGCAGTGTTCCAACGTGGCTTCAGTTCCTGCCTCTAGGCTCCTGCCTTGAGATCCTTCCCTGACTCTCTCCATGATGGAGTGTGACCTAAGAGCAACTGCACAGGTGAGGGACTACAAGGGCTGACTGACAGAAATGGAGCATGGGGCCCTCTAAGGACTTAGGGATTTGTAAAGCTTGAGTAGTTATAAATAAGTTTACACCAGAAGAGCCCAGAGGCATATAACTTCACCATTAGGCTCAAGAGTATATGAACTTGTCATAAGGAGCCTACAACTTATGCACTATTTGAAGGCAAAAAAAAAAAAAAAAAAAAAAAAAAAAATGGCATTGGAGTCAGATTTTTCTAAAGACTTAATATACTTTTGTGTGTTGTGTGTGTGTACAACTTCAGAGCTGTGACATCTCTGTTTCTCTGACTTCCCATGTTGCATTTGGTAAGTGATTTGTCCTCAGTTTCCTTATCTGCAGACTTAAAACACAGCCTGCATGAATCATCTGAGCCTTAGAGATGACCCAGTAGAAATCCTGACAGTGGTGTCTGGGCTTCCTTATTTCATTCATAATTTACAGCACTTGTTACCATGAAATGTATCTTTTATGTCTTCTTTTTCCATTTGGAAAACTCTTCTTTTGAGCTACTGTTACACTGTGTACCCTTTTAAAATTTAATTACCCAGCATTAGCCTGCCATCAGGACTAAAACTTAGGCACAAATATATTTAACTCAGTACTCTGTGAAACATGCTTCAAGTGAACAGAGATTTAGCAGTGTGCCCTATCACTTCAAGTGAGAAAAAAAAACAAGTGTCACAAAAATCGCCTCTCACTTCTGCAGAAGGCTTCCTAGGTCCGTGATTTGTGTGCATTGTTTTCTGGGTGGCCTCCTTTGAAACAGACCGCAGTTTTCTCTTGGGTCAAGGATTTCAGTTCATTAAAAAATTAAATAAATAAAATTTTAAAAAAATCAAATGAATTAAAAACTTAAGAAGAGGAGCCTGGTGTGGTGGCACACGCGTTTAATCCCAGAACCCAGGAGGCAGAGACAGGGGTGTGATCTTTGTGAGTCCTAGGTCAGCCTGATCTACAGAGTGAGTTCTAATTCACACAGCAACATAGTGAGACCCTATCTCAAAATAAATAACGATGATGGATATAGATATGGCTCATTGGGTAAGATCATATATTGTTCTTGCGGAGGACCCTAATTCACTCCCAACACACAAGTCACACAGCCCACACGCACCTGTAACTGCAGCACCAGGGAATCTGACACCCTCTTCTGGCCTCCCCTGGCAACTTCCAACATGTGCATATACCCACACACACATGCACATAATTTAAAATAGAAAATAAATCTTTAAAAATAACAGTAATGGGGCCAAGGATGTGAATCAATGGTAGAGTCCTTCACAAAGCTTGGGCTTTAGTCTTCAGTGCCTCACAAAATAATTTAAAAACCGATGACAGTCGATGACACTCTAACAGGTCTTGCTGGGTTTCTCTTCACATGTGCAAAGATCCTTTGCAAATGTTCTCATGTGAGCTAAGAAGCCTGACAAAAAGAATAGTAATGCTTTTTCTTTCCTTCTGACTCTGAAATATCAGTGCAGTGACATCCTATTTCAGTGGCCAGCTGTACTGGAAACATCTCAGGGGAGTTTTGTTCATGTGGAGGAGGTGAAGCCGATGACCTATACTGAATATCTTTTCACTGTTACTGTGAAAAGGGACAAATGACCTGAATTCAACATCTGCTGCTTCCTCAAATAAGAGCGCTTCCCCCATGCCAAGTACTGCACTGGGTACCGGGAAAGCAGCAGTAAATAAGACGATGAAGCCCTTGCCCTAAGGGTATCCATTGTTCTCAAATAGTCCGAGACAAATATGCAAATAGATAGTATAAACGTGTGATAGAAGATGGTGTTGGAGCCGAAAAGGAAAGAAATTAACTTTAGGAAGTTTTGTGTAGATGTTTATATTTAAGGTAGATCTTAAAAAACAATTAGGCACTGAATAAGAAAAAGACACAGAGGCCTAGTTTACAAACTATTACTGTATGAAGTAGGTGTGGAATAATGGTCAAGAACGGTTCAGTGTGGGGAATCTGGCCACCTAATGAGTCTACCAATCTATCTTGTAAATGCAGCAGCTCCGTCTTTGATCTCTGACTGTAGAAGTTCTCAAAACTGTGGCAAGATATGACATACAGGGACTCAGGCTGACGGTTTTGTGTTTCTGAGGGTTCACTTAGTGGGCAGGGTTAGCTACTGTTAAATCCATGCTTAAAGTTGCTTTATTTTAATTGTGTGTGAAAGGTTTAAATCATTCACGTGATATTTGATTACCTAACTTCTTAGGGAGTTCTTTTTTGTTAGGGTCTGACCAGAAAGCCTGGCAGACAGCAGTTTTAGTTAGCGTCTTATTCATTAGCCCATACAACCCACAGGTCCATGTATCTGCACTCTGTGTCCACCTTTCTGTATGTGACAGCCAGTCTTTGCTGTCAATTAGGCACGTTTGGGAAGAGGGAACCTCAACTGGACGATTTCCCCCATCATATTGGCCTGTGAGCGTGTCTTGGGGTATTTTATTGATTGATAATTGATACAGGAGGGCCCAGGCCACTTGGGCAGCCCCATCCCTAGGAAGGTG